TGAGGTCAATCATAAGGAGACGGTGGACAAAAGAAAACCTTCTGACAAAATGCAAGCAGTGATTGAGCAGAATGGACGCTATCAGTCAGGATTTGGTCCAGAAGTTGATTGAGAGCAGCCAGGGAGAAATGTCCTGAAGAAGAGGAGTCAACACTGTAGATACTGACCTGCTGCATGAACTCATTCTGTCATTAAAAGCTTTTCTGGATGTGATGCAACATCTGACATGAAAACCAGAGGGCAGCAGATCAGGTGAAAATAGAATATTTGTGTCATTCTCAATACTTTTGGCCATGGCTGTACCTGTGACAGTGTTAACAGGGGGGATTTACATCAGGCAATAGTAGGCAGCTGCCTAAGGCCCCAGGTTTTTGGAGGCCCCATAAAAGTCTGTTTACATGCGTGGTTTATACAACTGTTCCTTATTTGTGCACATTATGTATTTGATAAAAATCCTTTTTCTAAAATGCCATCAGAACACTTATATCAAGTGTTGTCTTCTCAAAACAGAGGGCCCCCCTGCATGTCTTTGCTTAGGGCCCCAAGTTTCCTAAATGCGCCCCTGAGTGTAATGACAAGATTCATTCTATTCAACTTAAATTTTAAAAGTAATGCAGTGAAACTGAAGCACAGAAGCTTCGCTGCTCTGCCTTATTAAAGGAACATTCTTCTACAGATCTGGAGAACTTCCTTAAACTTCTTTTTCTTAGTTTTATAACTAATGGTGTCAAATTTAACTTTGTATCATCTTGAAAAAACTATTTTAATACATGGTGAACAACTAGTTGGGGCAGCACCGAGTCCAACCACAGAAATAGTCTGGATGAAACTAATTATTTATTTTCTTTAAATACCAACAGGCTATAATGAAAATGAGGTTAAACTAACGAGGCTCAGATGATCAGAACCCGTCTGCCAGAGCTCCCTGCGGTCCCGCTGAGCAGATGTGAGACGGATCTTCAGGGACAAACTGGGTCTGATGGTAGAACCATGAGCTTTAGATGTTCCAGGTTCTGGACGTCTCCAAGCTGGTGGGTCAGAACCGGTCCTGAAACCATTTCCAGATGTTTGTTTCTCCTATTTCTATAGATCTAGGGTAAACAGCATCCTGCGTTTGTAGAAATTAGTTTTGCCTCCAGAACAAGAAGTGAAGCAGCCAACTGTACCGGTACACCATTTATTACTCATTATAGACATTTTATGTACATTAGAACAACTTCTGAATTCTGCTCCGTGGGACAGTTCTGAAAAACGGTTTGGTTTAGAAAAAAACTCCTTTTGTCTGTTTTTATGGGAAAACTACAAAATATACTTTATGGGGATAAACCAGCTTCAGACACACGGTTAAAAAGTTGATCTGAGTCGTCTTTAAAGCACAGAATTTATTTGGACTTATGATCAAACTCTTCAAACCAACAGAAACTAAAACTGCATCAGAACAACGAAGAATTCCCGTCCTGACTTCGCCATCAGGGCGAGTGTGGGAACTCTGGCAGAGGGCGTGAGAGGAAGAGGAGGAAGCTGCTGCTGGTTCTGGTCCTGATCCTCGCCATCACAGAAACGTCACCGCGCTCTGAAGCAGGCGTCCGCTTCCTGTCCTCCATGCCGCCGCCGCTCAGAGGAAGGCTCTGGGTTCTACGGCCCGTTTCTGACCTCTGCTTCTTGGAGAGCTTTGTTCCGTCGACGCTGATGGCCGATTGGGATTTTCTCTCCATGAGACAGCAGCCAGAGGAGGCTCCTCCCACCAGCAGCATCGGAGGCTCCGCCCCTCTGGATGGACACCTGCAAACGGATTCTCCTCAGACTCTGACCCCCTCCTCTCCGCTCCAGCTCCTCCAGTCAGTGGCTGCCATGGCAACCAGCTGGGATGGCGAACAGGGCAGCTCTAGGAACAACAGTTCTATAAAAAGGATTATAAAAACTAGACTTTTCTCACGCAACAAAAATACTGGTGTTCAGACGAGGGGCTCCGTCTGGCCGTTACAGCCTGAGGAGGCGAAGTTCTGGTTCCGGTCCGCTCCTCCATCCATCCTCACTATATCAGACATTTTTCTCGGCCAGCGTTTGGAGAAAAAAACTTTTTTTCTGGTTCCTTCATTTGAATTTCTTTAAAACTGCTAAAACATTTCCAGCCACATCAGCACATTAAATATCTTAAAAAGGGAGAAACCAGATCAAACATCAGATATCGGATCAGTCCAGACTTTGTTCTGTAGGTTAAAGGAAAAATCCCCCGACTTCTCCGCCTGGAAAACCTCCAGACTTCCAGGTTTTCTGTCTGATCAAAACCCGGCAGCAGAACCTGAAGGAGGTGGCTGGTTCTGTTGGACCTGCTCGGTGTCTTCCCTGCAGGAGAACCTTGATGAGCTGCCTTCTGGTTCTGGTTCTGGGTTTAACGCTCTGTAGAAGCTGCTGGGTGGTTCGATGAAGACGGACAGCGGCACCATCAGAACCAGAGCGAGCAATAGTTAAACAACCATCCCACCCAGTGACCGCTACTGATCCGCTACTTCCTGCTTACAATCTCCTCCAGAACCGCAGAAGGTTCTGGACCAAAGGCAGCGTCTCAGTGTGACCCACTGAACCAAACGGAACCATAAAAGGTTCATCGCTGCATCGCCACCGGCGACAGCCACACCGGATGATCTGAGCGGACAGCGTGGAGAACCCTGAGGTCCGACGCTCAGGTGGAGACAACATCAGAGCGGCGGTCCGTCTGGCTGCAGAACTCAGACCGAACGGCGTTTAGACTAAATAGCTGCTCAATGACCTCCAGGTTTCCCTGAAACGTTAGCTGAACGCAACAGAAGAACGGC